CCAAGGTGTCCACTTATTTCACTGAATTATTTATGAGCCCTGGGTCCCCACTGAATGGCCTGGGTCCCACGGGCCCTTGAGAGTGCTATTTGCCATAAATTTTGCTTATGAGGTCATATGGCCTTGTGGTAATATTTCAGACTCTGGTCAAACCCTTAAGCCTACACCCCACGCATCACCCACATTCCATGCAAACAGATCTCCTTAGATTCCTCTGTATCTATTTGCACATGGCCTGGTCATCCCAGCACTTTTGGTGTCATTTGGACCATTCCTATAAGCTGTGGTGATGTTTCACCTGTCCACCTTCTCTGCCATGTTTACAAATTATATACTTCCCACAAGTCTCAGTTCAGAGCTCTGCTCTGCATGAAGCCTTTTACAGGAGGGCAGGGTCACCTTTTCTTCCTTTGATATTTTTCTTCACTTAATCAAGTTGGGGTCTCAGCACTCCCCTGTGGCAGAGGGGGCACAAAGAAAAGTGATTCATAGTCCCTCAGGAAGTAGAGAAGAGAGGCACATAAAATTAATGAATTCTAAAGAAAAGAACAAGCTTTAAGGAAATCCAGAGGAAATCACCAAAATGTAGTTTTTGAAATGGGCCTTGAAGGATATATAATTTCTAGACTGGGGAAAGTTTGTTATGGACATAAAGTGGTCACACCTACAAAGGCATGTAACAGTGTACTGGGGTTAGAGTAGAAAGCACTCTAGAGAGGTTGGGAGAAGGGCTGAGAAGAGATTCAACCACTTTATAAAGGGTTTTATACTATGTACAGTGGGATGTTAGCCCAGATTCCAGCCTGGGGTTTCAGGACAATAATTCTTACAGGAAGATGGAGGGTGAATTGGATAAATATGTCACTGGTGGAATGAACACCAATCAGGAGCATTTCAGGCAGAAGATGAGCGAGCACCTGAATCTAGGCAGTAGTTGGAAAAGAGCAGACAATCTGTCAACAACCAGTGTACCACTGCTTCTTTGTAATTCTGAAATCTAAAAAGCTAAAACCTAAGAGTTTCCTCTCAAGTTCCCAAGACAATTTATTTGGTAGAACAACCTGACTTACACAAATGTGAAGCTATTTATTGTCTTTATGTAACCCACTTCATGGATAAAAAGATGGCCACAATTCTTTTCTGCTCCTCCCGTCGTGAGGTGGTATCTAGTTCCCCTCTGTTTGAATCCAGGTTGCCCTTGTCCCTGGCTTTGACGGATAGAATGTGGCAAGAATGATGCTGTTGTAGCTTTCAAGGTTGGGCCTTAGGAGATCTGCAGCTTCTGCTTTTGCCCCTCTTGGAATGTTCCCTCTTGGAAGCCAGTTGCCATGTAGAAGTCTAACTATGCTGAGCCCACCATGCTGTGAGGAAGCCTAAGAGGTGGCGCCCTGAAAGTGTCAGAATGTGAGTGAAGCTTTGTGGAATTTCCTAGGCCTGCCCAGTGACCAGCTGAAAGCAACTGAGTAAATGACTCAAACCAACACCACACAGAGCAGAACTGCCAGCCAAGTCCTGCACCAATTCTTGACCCACAGATTAACAAGCAGGTAAGACAGTTGTCATTTTAAACCACTAATGTCCGAGGAGTGTTTATTGCATTGCAACAGACAACTCAGACACACGTCATTCCTATATTTTCATTGCAGAAAATCCATGTATTTGATTACAGTACCATTCCAGACCTCACTGAGGGTGTTATTAGTATATGGTATATGTACGTTTTATCTTCCTAAAAAAAAAAAAATCTAAATTTTGAAATCCATCTGGCTGCAAGGGGTTTTTGAGAAGGAATTGTCCTTTGTATTACAGAAATAGAGTCGTCTAGACTTCCTTCCTGTCTTCCTGTAAATGTCATGAATGATGCCATAGACTCCTCCAGCCATCTCATGTGTGTATCTCTTATTTCCCCTGCAGCTACATTATTGGCTTCTCTAAACCAGTAGCTCGCAAACTTCAGAGTATAGGTATTAGCATCTCTTGGAAGGTTTGTTCAAACACAGCTTCCTGGGCTCTGTTCTCAGAGTTTCTGACTCAGTGGGTCCGAGGTAGGGTTTGAGAAGTTGCATTTCTGACAACTTCCCAGGTTATGCTGAGGCTGCTGATGCAGGGACCACACTTTGAGAACCGCTGCTTTAGGGGGAAAGCACTGTATTTTATTTCTTGTTTATTTGCCCACTCGCCCAAAGTGCTTAGCAAATGCCCATGGGGATAGAATTTGGGGGTAGAATTTCTCTGAAACCTTTTTGTAATTTTTTTTTTAAAGATTTTTATTGGGAAATTGGGGGATGGGTACAGCGCTGGGGAATTGGGGGAAGGGGAACAGACAAGTTGCTGTCATTTTGCTCTTCAGTCTAGCTGCGGAGGATGTCGCTTTACTGGCCCAAGTTGGCACCATCATTGCACTCCTCCAGGGCGAGGCAGATCAATCGCTGGCTTCTGGACGGCCGCTGACGGCGACTGCTGGCTGCTCACGCTGGCTGCTGGCTACACACGGTAGCCCATGGCAACCCACTGCAGCAGGGGCTGCAGCCCACCCCGAAGCCGGCTGACTCAGGGCAGCCCAGCTCCAGGTTCAGCATCTTAGCTGGGGAGGGCAGTGTCACTGACCCTCATATGTAGGATCCGAACCAGGGCCCTCTGGCGTCGCAAGCCAGCTCTTAACCAACGTGCCACTAGGCCGGCCCTTGTAATGTTTTTGAAGCTTTAACTTCTACTCCTGAGGTACTCCCCACTAGGCCCTAGACTTGAAAGAAACGAATTCCTTGTTTTATCAGACTATAGTTTTTGCTTTCTTGTCAGTTCAGCTGATAGAATAGTGTGGATAAAATGTCATTTCTGACTTCCTTTTTTTTTAACCTGTGTTGGAACAGATCAGAGGGAATGCCTTCCCTGTGACCCCAAAGCAAACCTCTATTTGCGACCAAGGATTATTTCCTTTCCCTTTGGTGGTTTCAGAATAAAATTTGTTTTCTTGCCATCCTCTCACAAAACGGGAGGGACCACTGAGAACGTGCTCTTTTTGGGGAGAGGTCCATCTATCAAAACCTGCATTTTACAGATGGTACAACTAAGTCCAGAGAGGTGCAGCCACTGGCTCATGGTCGTACAGCTGAGAAATGCTAGCGCCGCGGCGTTGGAGCTGGGGTCTAACTTGACCCTATAAAAAGTTGTGTCACTAAATGGGGTCCCCTCGTCCCTTTCCCCACCCCAGAAAAACACAGCCCGGGTGTCATAAACTTCACTTTGCACAACCCGTACCTTTCGAGCTTTTTTCCAAACATTTCCTTCAGAGGGTGACGGGACGGTCACACTGATCCATCTCGACCAGGGACCCTAAATATCTCCCCCTTCCTATCTGCCGGCCAGGAGCCGTCACCTCGGCTCCACGGATCCCCCGGGACACCGCCGCTGCGTGCGCCTGGAGGCGTCCCGCTCTCAAAGCCCAGCGATTAAGTTGGTTCCTCACATTGTTCCCGACAGGAGGGGCAGGAAATAACGCCGGGCTGTGGTGGCGGCCACAGCGGGCGGGGGAGAAGCTCGGGCGGTCTCCTGGAAAGTCCTGGCGGCCTTGCATCGATCTCGGGTCTAAGGTTCGGCCGGGTCAGAGTTCCCGCCGCTCTTTCTCGCTGGCGAGTCACCACCCCACCCCCCTGCCTCGGTCGCGGCTCAGAGACCTCATTCCTGGAGGCCTCGGGATCCCTAAGGGCCCCTCGAGCCGCGGCCGCCGTCAGGTGGAAGGAGACAGGTCAGCGGCGGCTGCCCGCCCAAGGGAGGCGGAGCCTGACGGAGGCCAGGGCCCCGCAGGGGGGCAGCAGGCGCCCGGGACCCCGCGCCCCCTCCTCCGCGCAGCCCGCCCAGCGACCCCGGGCGCTGGAGCGCGCTGCGTGGGCCTCATCCGTCCCGGGCAACAGGTGAGGAGGCTGCCGACCCGCGGCTCCTCTGCGGGACCGTCCCACCCCCGCGCGCCTCGCGCCCGCCCCTCTCCACGCCCCCTCCCCTCCTCCCGGCCTCCGCCGCCTGCCTCCGCCGTTCGGCGGCCTCCCCTCTGTCGGTCTCCTCCTCCTCTCGGGCCCTCGGGGCGCCCTAGAGTCCGCGCGCCGAAGAGCGGGGGCTGCCGCGCACCGCAGGACACGCGCCGCGACAGGTCCGGCCCGGGGAGGCGCCCTGTGCGCCCCTCCCTCCTCGCGCCCGCCGCGCTCCCCTCCCCCGCACCGGGGTCCCCGGGGCTCAGGGCCGCGCGTCCAGCCCGGGACGCGCTGGGGGGTCCCCGAGGAGGTGCCAGCCTGGCCGAGGCGCGACGATGGAAGATCCACAGCGCGCCCAGCCGCATACGGTCACCACCACCGCCAGCTCCTTCGCGGAGAACTTCTCCACCAGCAGCAGCAGCTTCGCCTACGACCGGGAGTTCCTCCGCACCGTGCCCGGGCTCCTCATCGTGGCGGAGATCGTGAGTGCCTAGCGGGCTGGGCGCGGGGAGGCGGGGCGCAGAGGGACCCCCGCGCGAGGCTTGGGCTGGGAGCCAACTCAGATCCGCCGACGGGCTTCAAAGGAACCCGGTTTGCCCGGCCTCTCCTTTTCCCCAAAGTGCAAAACTCAGAGACCACCTCTCTGAATGCGGTCCAAAGACCTCGGGCTCTGGGGTAAGAGGGTCGTGACCGTCGGGATGTCTGTTAGGGGAGAAACCCAACTTGCTGGGCCCTGTCCGTGGTCGCGGCGTGCGTATCCTGGAGCGGGATGCTTGGTGGGCATGGCGTTTGTGTTAGTGAGTGTCACGAACACCTGGTGCTGCCCTTACCTAATCTCCACGTGAATGGCCTCCTCCCTAAAGCAAAGCTTTCCAGAGATCAGAGAGACAAGAGAGGATTCATTCCTTTTCCTACGTAGTTGTCTTTCTGGTAGTAAAATTGAGGCGAATCAGGAAACGTTTACCGAGTAAAATCCAAGGGTCTCAACCGCTGAGGTTCAAATGGACTCCTGCCTGGTGCTGTGGCACATCCTGGTTTAGGCTCAGAACGTTCCTGGGGAGGAGGCCAGGCTTTCTCCTCTTCCTAGGAGGACACGGAAGCTGACAGGTGAAGTGATTTCCAGAGAATCCCCAGCCAGTCAGTCCTTCATGTCTGAGAAAGTGGTGGCCACTGTTTATTGAGTCTTCACCATGTGCCAGGGGCTCATCAAGCCCTTTAGATGCCTTTGTGCTCTCATGTAATCTACACAACAATCCTACCCTGTGAAGGTGGCTTTAATTATTATCTCACTTTACAAGTGAAGAAAGGGATAGAGAGGGGAAGGAAGTCACACCTGGAGTTGGTGGAGCTGGGATTCAGACTCAGGCCTGTCTCCGCAGACCTGCTCTTAAGTGCTGATGGTATCACTTCCAACTGTTAGAACCAGTGCTTCTTCCGCCACATCTTACATACTTTTCCTTTAAACATATGTGGAAAGAAAATCTGGCATATATGGGGGTAGAGAATGGGAGCCATGGTGGTGCAGAAGTGGCTGAAAACCCTGAGAAAACCTTGAGCAAAACCTGTGCACATCAAATAGCTTACTTGCTCCTCCAGTGTCTCAGACCTCACCCCAGACCTACACATTCAATCCCAGGTCGTTCCAGTGCACATCAAGTTTGGGAAATGTTGGCTTAGTGCATCCCCCAGCTGGTTCCCTCAGCTGGTATTGAGGACTTCAGAAGACCCAATAAAAAGCTGAGGGATAGGAATCACCTTGCAGGGCCTGGCTTATAGGAATTCAACAAATATTTGCAGTGTGAATGAAGGAGTTGCCAGGCTCCCCATCAGAGCAAACAAGCTAAAATCACACAGATGGGGCTTCTACCCTGGGGTGGATTTCAACCAGGCATAAAGGAAAATGCCTCTTGTTTTCTGATTTATGATCAATATGCTCTATGTTCCACACTTTTTCAGAAAATAGAAAAATTTATGAAAAAAATGCAAATGGCCCACAATCCCATCACTAGAAATAACCACTGTTGATATATTGGCAATGTATCCTTTTAGATTTAGATTTTTTGAAAAAGACGGGGGAAAAAATGTAAGAAAAATTACCCTTATTACTCCTATAGCTGTTTTTATTTTTGACAGAGCTATGTATGCACATGTTTATAGAGTCAAATAGTCCTGTAGGCAGAAATGTAAGTGTCTCTCACCACCTCCATACCTAGAGGTACCTACATTCAAATCTCTTGGAGCTCTAAATAATGTGCTCCTAATGCTGTTTCTTGATATATATTTTTTTCAGTTGTAGACGTTATCCATTAGCTTCCTACTCTGAAAGACGAGGCCTAGCCTGTCTTGGACCACCTCTTCACCACCCCTATTATACCCTTCCTGCCTCCCACTATATTTTTGGTTAGATCAGTATCAAGTGTTGACCTTAGGACACTGAGCCGCTGCGTAATCTGTGAGCATTCTTCCTTTCCTGCCCAATTTCATATTTTCCCTGGAGTTAGTAATTCTCTTTTTCCATATTTTAGTCTTCTAGATATCTAGTCACGAATTCTCCCTTAGTTGTCTAAATCTCTCAGGAAAACCGAGAGACATCAGATATTCTATTAAGGTCATCCTCATGACCAGCCTTCTGTGGGATCCTCTGACCTGCTCCCGCTTGGCCTGCTTTGCTTGGGCACAGCTCATGGCCTTGGGTCTCCTGCAGCCTCACCCTGGAGATTCTCTTCCCCCCTCTCCTGCATTAGATCCCCTGCTTCCCATGACCAGTGTCCTCCCTGTCTTGCCTTCCTCTGGGAGAACACACAGCCTCTGATAGTTTGCTAAGAAAGATGGTTTGCGTGTGTAAATTGAGATTTGCATCTTTCAAAATGTCTTGATTCAACTGCTACCCATAATTAATAGTTTGGGTAAAGAGTATTAGATTTGGGCTGGCCGAGTGGTGCGTTGGTTAAGAGCTGGCTTGGAATGACAGCTCTGAGCAGTAGGGCCCCGGTTCAGATACCACATGAGGGCCAGTGACACTGCGCCCTCTACAGCTAAGATGGTGAACAACAGCTCGACCTGGAGCTGGGCTGCCATGAGCCGCTGTGAGCAGCCATCTAATGGCCGGCAAGCAACTGCCTCACCTAGGAAGAGCTCAATAATACCAACATGGGCCTGTGAAGCGACGTCCTCCACAACTAGACTGAAGAACAAAAGGACAGCAACTTGTCTGTTCCCCTTCCCCTATTCCCCAATGCTCTTCCCCTCCTACAATACCCTAATAAAATCTTTAAAGAAAAAGAAAAAAAAGAATGTTAGATTAGAAATTGTTCTTCTTTAGAATTTTAAAAGTATTCCTCTATTTCCTTGTAGTTATTCTGATTATTTTTAAAAAATATATATTGCAATTTAAAAAAATTTTTGTAAGAGTTTACTTGAGCCAAAACTGACAACAATTGCTGGGAAGCAACATGTCAAATGCCATATTTCTTCCATTTCTTGAAACTTTTTTCTGGAAGCCTATAGAATCATCTTTCTTCTGTAATAGCACAATGATTGCCTTCATATGAGACTATTTTCTTCATTATACTGGGGACTTGGTATGTTCTATCAATCAGAAAACTTACTTATTTTTAAAGAGATTGTAAATTTTTTTATTTTTGTCTTTGCATTTTTCTCAGTTTTTCTGAAACTCCTTTTATACTTTTTTCTATGCATATATTTTATATATATATATATATATATATATATATATGATTTGTAAACTGCTGTGTTCACTTACCATACCATGAACATTTTTGCAGGGATATCTCGCTTTGTTATAGTTTTCTGTCATAAGGAAGTACTGTATTGATTTCCTCAGGTTTCTATTTTAAAACTAGCATCTTTCTAAGTTTAACTAGTATACCCAGTGCTGTAGCAATCTTAGTTGTTTGTCCTTCGCTCCACATTTGTGCAGTGATTTTTATGAGGCAAAGTTCCTTAAAGTAGAATTGTGTCAAAGGGCGCACAAATTTAAGTGTTTTGTTACGTATTCAGAAATTATCTTTTCCCACAATTGTGCTGGTTTAAATTGTCATCAGTCGTGTGAGCCTATTAAACTAAAGCTACAAAAAAAATTTTTTTTAATTACAACTCTTAAAATTAAAAATGTTAAGGATCACCTTAAATGATATACAATGTTTTATTGATTCTAAAATACTTTTTTGTTCATATTTTAATATCTGAATCAGGATGCAGCTTACAATGGATGTTTTCTTGGTTGTAATGGAATATCGTACCACTGATTCTTATCTTGGGGTGGGAAGAAATGCAAGTTTCAAACTATTGAGGTCCCAGCCCTGAGATTAAGATAGACCCACCCCCAGAAGAATGTTACTTTTCTGCCTTGAAAAAACAAAATACGGTGACAGATTTACTAAGAACCTGACTTCCAGCTTGAACCTAGGGGAAATGAAATAATAGAGAACAAAACTCAGTTGTTTCCCCAAATTTGTTGTCGAAATCTTTTGCCTTGGCTTTCTCACAGGGGTGAGTGGTAGTAGGTAACCTACTAAAAATACTCTAGGCCTTGCCAATGTAATATCGTGTTGAAACCAAATTGTAGTCGTTTCCTTCCTTTTCAAGTTTTTGTTTGTTTTTTGTTTTTTTAATTTTATCGGGGAACAGTGTGTTTTTCCAGGACCCATCAGCTCCAAGTCAAGTAGTTGTCTTCAGTCTAATAGTTGTGGAGGGCACAGCTCCATGGCCCATGTGGGAATTGAACCGGCAACCTTGATGTCATGAGCCTGCGCTCTAACTGCCTGAGCTAACCAGCCGCCCCACCTTTTCAAGTTTTATAACAAGCTAGAAGCACTCCAGTACTTGTGACTTGTAGGGTGCTATGATCTCATAACCATCATGAGTACTTGAAGAATAAAAATGCTATATCAGAAGCTGTGTTAATTGCACCCTTCCTGTTAAATGTTATTGGTAACTTCAAAATGAATTACAGCATTCGTGTAATAATGCTAGGTCACCTTGCTTTTACTTACTGTCGTGATCAAACTTAGTTGGGTAAGGATGAACAGGGTTTACTGACAGCAGGAATCTAAATATTCTGTTTGAGTTCTTTTTAAAAAATGGTGAACATAGTTTCCATTTCACAAAAACAATACCTAGTCTTTGTAGAAAAATTAGAAAAATGCAGGTTAGAAGAAAAATGTAATTCTAGTCCCCACTGTGGTTGCTAATAGGCGTGGTACAACTCCATGTCTGGGAGTGGGTAGGATTTTTTTTTTTAATTGGTTATTGTAATGCCTGGAGTTTCTGCTGGTGTTCCGTGCCCGAGGGGCCAGGGATGTTAAATGTCTTGAAGTGTATGGGACAGTCCCCAACAATGAAGAATTGTGTCATCAGTTGCCAGCAGTACCACTGTTAGGAACTCTGAGTGAAGCACCATTTACCCATTGGACGAAACCATTCCAGAATTTCTCAAGTGGTTATAGGTTATTTACCTGTA